TGTGGGATCATATGCTAAAAGGCTACTTCAACACCCTCCATCAATGTGAGATCAACTACAAGCCCAAAAAACAAGGCCATCTGGACCTGTGGAAGGGGGAATAAAATTTATGACATTAAGTCAGTTGAATGTCACCCTAGATAAGATCAAGGGACCTGCCAATTTGGACAAGGGAAAAAGAAACAGAAAATATTTGATTTGTTGTTTTAGCTTGAGAACTGTAGACTATATTTTTGGGCAAACATTTGATGTGTTTAGAACAATATTTATGTTTTGGTTTTGTTTTTTGGTTTAGAACATATGACTAGAGATGTATGGATTTTGATTGTTTAGGAAATTTTGTTGTTAGTTATTTGGTTGTTTTGAACTTGACTGAGGATGTATGGTTTTGAAGTTGGCAAATATGGTTGTATTCTTGTGGTGAACATGTTTGTCTGTTAATATTAATGTTATTGTTAATGTCTGGGAATGGTTGTCTCAAAGATGTGAACAGGTTTGTCTTTTAATTATGGTTTCTTGTATCTGTTTGTCATGTTCTATAATAACTTGTAACAAAACCATACATGGTTATTTATCATAAGCAAATGAAACACAAAACATTATAAACAAAGGACCAAGTTCATAAAAACGAAAGATCATGTTTAAACATACAAAATAGGTCACCATAAATCATACATTCAGATTCAGCCACCATGAAATCAAGAAAGAAGAACATGGCGCATACATTCAGAAAGAAAAACATTACTAAAGTAAACATAAACTAGCATAAAGATAAAAAAAAAAAATTAGGAAAAGACACCATGAAATCTTCAAGTAAAGCTTCAACCAGTTTCTTTCTTTCTCCAAGGATCTCATTTTCAGTATGGAGCCTTGTTATAATCTTAGAAGCTCGATTGGGAATCGGTGGATCAGCCCAGACAAAGAAACCACAACCATCCCTCTGATTTCAAAAACATTGTAAATTAGGGTTTCAGTCTTGGAATGCATTGAATAATCAAACTTAATTTGTAAATAAAATAGAATAACCTACATTCCAATCTTTGCAGCCATTGAATCATCTCCCTGGGTTTTCTTGAGTCCATGACGTCCGCACTTGAGCTCTCTTCCCGCAATGGCAAAACATGATTCTTGAGTTTCCCGCTGAAGCGACATCCCTTAACAAGATCGTCGATGTGTGTTGATTTTCAAAGAAACCACAATCATCCCTCTGATTTCAAAAACATAAGATAGGTAAATTAGGGTTTCAGTCTTGGAATGCATTGAATAATCAAACTTAATTTGTAAATAAAATAGAATAACCTACATTCCATTCTTTGTAGCCATTGAATCGTCTCCCTGGGTTTTCTTGAGTCCATGACGTCCGCACTTGAGCTCTCTTCTCGCAATGGCAAAACACGATTCCTGAGTTTCCCGCTGAAGCGACATCTCTTAATAAGATCGTTGATGTGTGTTGATTTTCTCGATCGAGATGAATCTAGTTTTCCCTAATCAAGATCAAATATTTCTCCCTATCAATACCCCAGTTCTTTATAATTGGGGCAAAATGAGGATTCGATCCCGTTTTTAACTTCAATTTTATCTGCCATTTTTTATTTTAGTTTTTAATTGCACGTAGGCTGGTTAAAATATTTAAAAAAAAAAACGAATTTTTTTTTCATTTAGAGGACTATTTCCAAAAACGGTCCATTCACGGGACCAAACTGAAAATGGGGTTTGACTTAAAGGATGAGAAAACCTTTTTTTGCCAAATTATTCCCAAGGGTCTAGCTATTTTATTCCTAAGAATTGATCCTTTAAATTTGTTTTCGTTCTATTTTTTTTCCTTTCTTTTTAAAAAAAATTATTATTTATGAAAATAAATTTGTATTTAGTTGATACATCCTAGATATACTTTCAACCTTGGATTGTGATTTCATTTATTTGACGCATTTCATGCTTTTTATAGAATCCGAAGCAACTGATATTTTTTTTTTTTTTTGGATTGCAAGTTCTTTTTAAAAATCGCGTTGTCTTTTATTTGGCACTTCCTTAATTGCTGTTGGATAGTTAGCTACATTATGGAATTGATTGGGAAGATAGAGAACTTTGATTCATCTAATATTTTTGGGGGGGAAAAGTTTGAAAACCATAAAATTGCAAATGAAAAATATTTATAATATAAACGAATTTTGAAAACATTATGTATGTATGTGTACTTTAGCCATAACATTTTGTACAGGGCCCAATTTTTCTTGACAAAATTCATTAGCTCCTAAAAAAATTATTTTGGCCAGATTCGATGTGTATTTTGGATGATTGCAAGAACATGCGTAAAAGTCGAAGCATGCGTACAAACGAGGTTTCCTATGAAAAGGATTTCACATCTATCTATCTATCTATCTATCTATCTACTACCCTAAAAAAGTGAATATTTCTGTAAAAATATTTGTTCTCTAAACTACCCTTTTAAGGGTACACTAAATTCTTAGTTACTTTGGTTAAATAGTCATTCTTAGTTGTTTAATAATTAATGGTTATAATTGTACGGAATATCAAACAATCACTCAAAGCTTTATTTTTATCATTTCTCAAATCATTGGCAATAAATAGTGGGAGTTTATCATGAATTCTTATATAAATAAGAATTCTTTCTATGGAGAAAAAAATATGCAAAATTGGTCTACAATCCACATCTAGCCAATCAACAATTTATTTGTAGAGCATTTTTTCTCCTAATAAAACATTCAATTTTCTCTTTTTATCTATATTTGTATCTATCTATATCTTCTATATCTATATCAATATCTATCTATATCTATACTATATATATATACTACTATAAAAGAACAAGTATTTTTGTAAAAAAATTGAAGTTACTTTGACATATTTTTAACGATAAATTAGTAATATACTAATATACATCTCATTTTATATTTTTAATTAAAATATAAACTGCCTAAAAATCTCTTAAATTGACATGTTTTTAATGACAAATTAGTAATACCCTAATATCCATCATATCTTCTATTTTTAATTAATAAATAATATTTAATTAATCAAATACAAATACATGAACAAAACATTCCACATCTCCAAATCATAAACTATACGATTCTCGCACCATAATTTATTACAAATTTATTAATAACTATAAGCAAAAAACTACAAAATCGATATTGTTTACTTATAACAATATACCACAAGTTTTTTATTGATTAAAAAAACTTGATCATTAAATCAACTTTAATGTCGGTAATTGAACTAATTATTTTATGTGGGTACGTTATTTTTAATTTTTTTAGTTAAAATTTATTTACTTTTTACCATTAAATTTTTTAATTTTGAAATACTTAATATTTTATTTTTTTGTTACTCTTTTATATGTAATATGTAATGTTGATTTAACCAATGTATTAAAAATAACATAAAAATATTATAATTATTTCTTTCGATATAAAATAATATATTTATACATATCAATACCAATTTAAAATAATAAATGTATTTAAATATCCATTAATTCATCATCTGTAGATTTTGTACTTAATTATTTTTTCGATATAAAATAATAAATGTACTTAAAGTAATAAATAAAATAATTAATTCAATTACCGATCATCTCTAGAGAAGTAATAAATTTAATGTCGGTAATAAATAAAATAATTAACTACATTTATTTCTTTCGATATAAGTATAGTTAATTCAACTAATAATTTGAATGTCGGGAATTGAACTAACTATATCTTATTTCAAAAAATAATTCAGCATCTTTAGAGAAGTACATGATTTTGGAAAGTCAACTTTTAACATTGAAATATCCATTAGAGTTATCCTTGAAATTGTGTTGTAATAAATTTGTATTCAAATTTTCACTACAATTTCATCATTTTCTTGAATGACTCCAATCAATAAGAAATTTAGCATTATATATAATATTGTGTACAACTAATTATTATGAAAAAAGTTGATAGTGATACAAAATATAACACATTAACTAACAATTTTTTTTCTAAACAATCATCTTGATTGAAAAGTCCTAAATTATTTTATTAGTATTATAATAATTAAACAATAGGATAGAATGATGTTTTATGTAACACAAAGGTAAGACTACATAATAAAAAATTTATTGCTCACATTCAATCCAAAAGTCAAAAAAGTGAAAAATTAACTAATGTCCTATATCAATTGAATTTGACTAATGAGAAATATCAAACGTACTAAAGAAACACATTTATTTTAAACATAGCTTCTAAGTACATAAAAAAAATTTGCATTAATTATTGGTATGTTAGTCTTTTTTTTTAAGTTAAAATAATAATTACTATCTACCATTATTTTTTTTTTTTCAATTTTGCAATACTTAATGTTTTTGTTATTTGTTACTCTTTTTGTATATAATATATCACATCATTACTTTTCCAATGATTTTTAATTTGACCAATGTATTGTAAATAAAATAAAATAATGTATTTATTTTATCTATATAAAATAATATATATATATATACCTAAATATATTTATATAGATACATATAAAAAAACTAAGAAAATAGAATGAGAAATATTATTGTTTACTCCAAATAAATATTAAATATGTACATGGTGACTTAGGACCCTCATAGTGGGTAACACAATGAAAAGATAAATAAAAAATGTAAGTGAAGTTATTTTCTTACAAATATATTTAATATCAAATACCACATGTTAGTGCATTTTTCCCACATTGGTTTGAACAACATTGCATTGAAAATAAATTCAAATATGAAAAAAGAGATAAATAGTTATATATATATATATATACACACATATATGTATAAATATACACTTATCTTTAACTTAAATGTATATCATAAATAATATATTTTATCAAATCCACTTAATGACATATGCAAATTATATGGTTCACGTGCGAAGCACGTGCACCTTACTAGTATGATCAAATGATACACCAATTGATTCCTGGTAATCACACTACCGTGATTACATGTAAAACTTTGTGCTTCAAAGGCTCAAGCTATGTCAAGTCTTCTTCTTAAGGGAATCAAACAGTGAAGAGCTTTCCCGGGTGCTCGATGACTTTGCAAACGGGTTAGACGGGCGACCAAGATTTTGTTGTTCAACTTTCTTAGGTTCTCCCAAGTTGCTGACTTCATCAGCAGCATCCGGCATCTTTGTTATCGTTTTTCCAGTTGTCGTGTGAATTTGTTCACGTTTTTCGGTTTTGGCTTTGGTTGGGTCTTCAGCATTTTGCTTTTTAGTAATAGACAAGGTGGATGGCAATAAGTGGGTTGATGTTTTGTTGATTTCTGGTGCAGTAAACATCTCAACAGATGCAATGTCGTGCTGGGGCTTGCTCTGAGGTTGCACCAAATTCCCAGCAGTTTCCTTCACCAATTTTTCCTGTGATAATGCAAATCAGTGAATCATAAATTGAAGATAATAAAAGGGAAAATGCTCATGCAAAGTTAGGATTTAACAAGTATTTTAAACTAGAACAGTTAAAATGGGGCTGGCCAAAACATTTTATGCAGCCCAACCCATGCCATGAGATATACAGTAACGAGGGCTAGTCAGGGGTGCACTGCCCATCAGGTAGCTCAGCCATGACAAAAGAGCCCGGGCCAATGAGGCCCTTCCCGGCCCAAGCACTGGATAATAACGACTCTACTTGAAATCTCACCTCCAGTATGTTATTGAATCGCTCAGCCAAACTGGGTAGCTTTAGAGCAGTTACGAGTTTTATGGCTCCTCTAACCGATTTCTCGAGCGAAAGAAGTTTAACCAGCTCAGTGGCTCTCACCAGTTTGTCACCTGGATAAACCATGAAAAATGTTTAGCTAATCATAAACTATTCTCTACTGACTAATAATGAGTAACTGAGCTTGGAATAGAAGTACTACAAAATTATACTAGGTGGTGTGTATTCATTTGAGATTTTGAAAGAATTGATGGGACTTTAAGAAGTCTGCTTTTTTTTAAAAATTTAAATGTCAAAATCTTAAGAAGTCTCAAATCTAGTCTTAAAGTGTCCCTTAAAATCTCAAACGAATACACACAAGACACGTATTTATACTCACTGTTACAGCAAGATGCAATTAGCCGCAAGATGCATCTATCTAGTGATGTTTCGAGATTGAAACACTCATCGTCCAGTGCTGTGGTATCTTGACCAGAAGCTGCTCTTTCTTCTATACGTCTCTGAATCTGAATATATTGACATTGGTAATTGAGCAAGAAAACAGGAAACATAGAAAGAAAGAAAGAAACCCAGGACTGGCAAGCATTCTTATATCACCAAATTATATCTCATTCTTAAATGTATCAACCATTCCAATGAATAGTATGCCAGTCACAGCAAACAGCAAAGTCTAGTGAGTTACAAACACTTGCCTGGAAAAGATGCATGTTGTTCATCATAAATTCATTCTCCAGGCTATCAGCACCAAGGTCAGAAGAAGCAAGGGGGAATGACAGGTCTAGCAGAGTCAAGACAGGCTTGGGGGTTGACTGGAAAATCCACAAATTTCGTAAGTTAATAGAATGATGCAAAAAGACATAAAAACATCAACGAGTTGTGACCTATACCTGCGGGAAGGATTCAGGAGACTTGCAAACAACACAAAACAACTTGCTAGAACTCAACCCAACAACCCAATAAATTTCTTCAGTCTTCTTCAGCTTACTGGCACTGGCAATGGCAATTGATAATTTGAGTTGAAAGTGGTAAAACTCATCCAAAAAAAGACAAACACAACTACTTCATAATTGAACAAGTACCTGAAGAGTGGGGCCCAACTACCTCCATATTGACTCGTAAAAACCCTTAAAACACCCTACATAAACAAATATATCAATTCTCAGATTTATAAAATAACACTATTTGTCAATACCTACACTTGATCTCAGGGACATGCACCTTTGAATCAAATGAACTTAGTTGACCTTCTTCACTGAAACCAAACCAAGTCAAACATGACCCAGGAGTCAATGGGAGCCTTCCTCTTAGTGGTTGTGTTCCATGAGGAATGTTGAACACTCTAAATTCAAGCATCTGCAAGAGGGAAATATCATTTATCAATTCTGGAATCTCTTACATCTTGACTTGTTCTGCTTTTCACAATGTTAGAGCCGACAACCAATCCACAAAGTAATGACAATTGTAACGTTACAGACAAATTGAATCAAACTGTCAGCTGAGATTATAAAATGCATAATAAAATTTTAACTGAAGAGAAAAAGAAATCAGAAACTCTGACGAAGGGAACAATATGTCCTACAATCAACTTCAACAAACAGTGTCATCCAGTTTGACATTATTGAATGTCCTAAGCATCGGGTTAACAAAATACTTCATTTACTTAATCATCAAAATAATATTTGAACAGTACCTGTTCATCAGTGGGCAGAGTTGGGGAAATGTGAGTGACAACAGCCAGTTCATCCTTGTGGCCAGCTGCAGATACCACTGGACCATCAAGTGATAGAACATGTGTCTAGATGAAATACAAATGTTAGATTCTCATGAAAAATTCAGAATGACTATAATGTAATTTTAGTGGTTTATAATAAACAAGTGTCCATCACCAATAAGGCTCAATAATACTGGATTTCAGACCTTAATGATAAAAAAAATACAAACCTGCAAACCACCTACAGTAAAGATATGGAGAAAATTGAGGCTGGTAATAGCAGCAACCCAAGCACTTCCAAGTGCTACGGCTCTAACTTCTTCCCCTTCAAATCGCATAGACCACTACATTTTCATAAGGAAATTAATATCAGCTACCTAAAGGCTTAAGCTAAGCTTTACAGCTTAGGCTCAATAAAACTTATCTCCTGTCTCTTCGCAATGGTGCTATCAAGCACATTAAACATACAAACAAAGAAATTAAGATGGCTAACCTCACTGTTATTTGCCCAGCTACTAAAAGGACGATACATAAGTGTGCTCATGTTCTTCTCGCCTTTGCATGGATTGGCAAATACACTACCATTCTCATTTAGAGAAGCCATAGTGAAACCAAAATAGTCAGTCATTGCAGGAACACGTGGACCACTGCTGGTATCGTGGAAATCTATCTGCATTTAAATCATGTAACTAGTTTAACAGCTGATCATTATCACTTGATAGTGCAAAAGATTCTTCATCCTTTCCAATTCCGGATAATAAATTCAGTGGCTAATCCCTTCGGGTCGTGGAGGCCAAGTGTCCTAATGTAGGTTGTGATAATGGTAAAAGATCACAGGTTTTCGAGTTAGATGATAGAATAACGTCATTAAGGTATTTATTAATCACACCACTAAACTAGATTCTTAAGCCTTTTGTTCTGACTTATCCAGCTTGATGAGGCAACTTGCAAGTTAGCATAGTCAGCAAATTCTCATTTTAATTCTTCTAGTCCTATTCTAGGAAGTAGCAAATGACTCATTTTCTTTATAAGAACCGATTATCAGAGGTCTGAATAAGAGGGTACCTCTATATGTGAATAACCATCAAGCTCCATTGTTGTTATACTTCCGAGTATATTGTAGCACAGAAAGTGCCTCTTTCCAGGTTGAGCAGGTGTAGCTCCGGGTTGAAAAGCTTCTTGCATTTTCGGTCCAATTGGTATCATCATACTTTTGGATTCACTCTTCCCGTAAGAGTTATCTTTGTGACCATAAGAAGCCTTTTTACGAGACTCAGCTTTTGGAATAGATTCCAACTCATTAATACAATCTTCTTCCCAGTTATCATCATAATTAGAGTGCTTACGTAATCTTTTCCTGCTAGGTGGATCAAATTCACCAAGGCTATCTTCATTAGGATTACTCAAATCACCAGATTCACTAGGTTCTTCCTCGTCATACAAGTGGAAGCCATTGCTGTTCTTCATAACAGGAATGCCTTCAGTTGGAGAATGCATAGTCAATGGTACAGCTGATTCCCACAAACCATACCTCCCTGTAACATCAATAACTGCCAGTGCATTTCCGTGGGGCTTCCATGCCATACAAGATATGCGTTCACTAAATTTCTGCCTTTCAATATCCTGCTTCTTGCTGATATCCCAAATAAGAATCTGCCTGTCTATGCCAGAGGTAGCCATATATTTCCCATTTGGTGACCAAGATAAGAAGCAAACTGATTCTGAATGATCCCCTCTGAGAGATAACAGTCTTTCTGCAGTGTCTCTATCATACATTACCACGTCATTTTTCAGACCCGGCACAGCTAACATTTCTCCATCTGGACTCCATGCAAGTATGTTCATTGCTGAATCATCCGAACCATGGTTAGGCGCTATGTGCTTGAGGACATGAAGTGAATTTCCAGATTGGAGCTCCCATATAATAACAGTCCCAACCAAATCAAGTGAAGCTAAGTATTCATTCTTAGGATCAAAAGCCAGGCTAGTTACAGAACCTTTATGTCCTTTAAGAACTCGGGCAATAGTTCCATCAATTGTATTGACAAGCTTGATGCCATCATCATCACCCGCGGCAGCCAAAATGGTTCCAGACTTGTTGAAAGCTACTGCACGAATCGGCAATGTGAATCTGGTGATGTTTGTCTCGAAATCTCCACCTGTGAAAAGATAATTATATTGCACATCAGTACTGATAGTGGTATACATGGGCGATTACAGGGCCTTTTTAAAAGTATGATACATGATCTAAAGACACAAATTATCAAGATGCACAATCTCCTGATTTATTATTTAATCATTCAAGAAATCAGCTTTACCATTAGAAATCCAACAGCAATATCAACGCCAAATATATGCAAGTGTAGCAATATGAAAGCAACTTGCCACTCATGACTCAAATAAATAAATGAACACATCAAGTTCAAAATATAATTTTATGGGTGTTGGGAAAGTTTTAGCCTGACTCGGGCAGGTTTGTATTTAACAGCTGTCATGTAGGAGATAGCTCGCGGAGAGGGTTTCATCCGCCACGGAGACTAATGGTTCGCCAAATTTCAAGCAAAAGGGAGCAGCAAATACAATTCACATTATCTGCAAATGGAAGTAATTTTCTGTCTCCATCCTGATTGAAACTAGCACTTGTTGTATTTTGCGTTTTTGACTCTCAAGAAAATGGCTTAAAAAATCAAAAGATAAAGGGTAAAACGAATCAAAGTCGAGACACATGAGATATGCTCTACATAAGACGAAATAGCCTCATATATTATCCATGGTTTACGGCTAACGCCTTCAAAATACAACTTTTGATTTGTGTAAAGGGGTAACTCAATACGCAAACCTTCAGCGAATAAAATTCAAGTTTCGAAACTCTCAAGATAGAAACAAACACAAAAAAAACGATGCTTATATAAACGTCGTAAAAAGATGCAAAGTGTTCTTAAAATCTGATTTTTTTTAATGATTTCAGTTCATGGGAGTTTATAGATGTTCTTATGCATCTCCAAGGGGTTCAAGGCATAAAAGAAACCTTTCGGGATGTGCCCGGTTGAAACTTTTTCGGCACGAGAATGTGCATCCGAGTTGCGTGCTCGTTGCGCCCGCGACAAGCCATCGCGCCCAACTAGAGGGCTGAATTAAGCGTTGTGACCACGAAGGGGGCCTGCGCGCCGGGAGCTCATACGCACCGTCCGGAATCGAAATCGTGGTTTTTCCTACTGGTCCCCAACAAACCCGTCTAGAGTTCTAGCATGCATATTGTATGATTATGTCTCGTTTGGCTTGACCAAACATTCGTCAAAGACAAAATATATGCAAATCCTACAATATGAATTACCTAAACTCAATTTTGAGTTACATAAACTCAAATTACCCCACATCTCAACTACGAAATTAAATTTTCATTAAACCTAAAATGGCTTTGAGATTCTATTCAAAGTCTTTCACTTACGAAACATAAAACTGACGTACAAAACTAATTTTCCTTACATAACTCCAATCAAATTGCAGTAGTTTCCAAAGATATTGTACTAATATGCCCTATATTCTCTAAAATCCCACCACGCGAGATCCCGACCAACCTAAAATTCATGCATACATCTTCCCAAGTATTGAGAACACAGCACAGAGGCCCTTTCTAGTTTATTGACTTTGGAACTCGCGATTCAAAATCCAAGCTTATCTTTTTCCGCTATATTGTACCCACATTTCATAGAACCCTAATCTCACATCGAAACACTTAGTGATGTCGTACAAACTACAAATAAGAGGCAACTAAAACAGAGATAGCTCCTGAACGAAAATTGCACGGAAATTGTGAGATATTAAGAATCTGAAAAGAAATTACCAGGGAATTTATAAAGCTTAACGGAGTGGTCAATGGAGGCAGACGCGAGACATGTGGAATTAGGGGCGAGGGCCAAAGCCGTAACACCTTCCCGGTGGTTGCGCAGAGACTTAGGCACATTGCCTGGCAAAAGTGCGTCGTGAATGCATATAGAATTGTCGGCAGACGAAGCCGTGACGATGTGGTTCCCAGTGGATGCCCACAAAATGGAGCAGAATGAGCTCCCCTCGCCGTCGCTGCTTTTGTGGGCTTCCCGGAGCTTAATAGTTCGGATCTTCATTTTTTTCTGCGGTGACAGCTTCACTCTCTTCCCCCTGAAGTGGACCTAAACAATTGTAGAGCTTAATAGATTTGAAGGATTTTGGCGGGTAATTGGGTTTTCAACCTTTTGGGTTTTCGGCGGGAATTTGTCTATGTTTTGGTAGGTGAAATGTAGGGAGAGCACCACGGAAAGAAAAAATATTATTTATAAAATTAAGCTCCATTTTTTTATTATTTTCAATAGGGATGAGTTTTAAAAGTAACAAAATAAAAATAAATCATAACCATTAAATTTGATTATCCTGTAAAAAATACTCATCATTTTTCGTTATAACACGGTTCGGTTCATTTTCGATTCCTGCAAATTTTTATATGTTAACCGAACTGGTTATTATGTCTCGGTTCTGGTTCCAGTTCCCGAAAAATATCTTAAGAACCAGACTTGTCCCAAGCCTAGAAAGTAGAAACAGAGCTCCAAGCCCAGCTCCTGTAACCGTCGAGGATCCATCTGAATAAACCATTCATATACCAACTTCCTTTTAGATCATGCACCCATGGAGAAATATGCTAGAGTTTGCATATTAATGGTTCTCCTAGCTTTCAACTTTATATTCTTCTACATCTACACCAGTTTTTTAACGCTCACTTGACACTTCTCGTTGATGTAGAAGGTCGTCCAAGTGTTTTTGTTTTTTTCAAAGTGCATAAGGTCGTCCAAGATATTATTTTAATATTTTTTTAAAAGTATATATTATTATTCTCTATTTAAACATTGTTAATAAAAAATGTCGTTGAGGATAATTTACGTTTTCACAATTCAAATGAAAAAATTAGTGTGATAAATTGGATTCCCCTCAAATTCCCAGCCCAAATCGTAAGAGCGTGCTTTGATACGAAAATATCTTCTCGAGACGAATTTTTTAGTTAATCATAGTTCATTTTGAAAAGTTAGTATTGTTAATTGTTAGTGAAATCTTGAATTTATATTAAAATAATATTAAAAACAACTAATTAAAGTTGATTTGATGTAAAAGTATGAAAGAGATGATGTGAAGTGATGTTAGTTAAAATAATGTGAGTGTATGAATATTAAATTAAAGTTGATGTAACGTGTAATAATGATTATTTAATATTATAAATTATATTAATAACATAGAAGACAATGATAGTGTGTTAAATTTGGATCAAATTTTAAATATAAATTAAGTATGGATTAAAAACTATCAACAAACAACTCTAAAAGATACTAACTTCATTACCAACGAAACAACCTTAAGAGGATACTTGGATACAACATTTTTCAAAAGAATCCAAATATTTTTAACTCAATCATCTTTTAACTCAATTTTAACTTACACTCATTATCATAAATATTATCAATTTAATTATATATCATTATTACACATCATATCAACTTTACTCATACTAGTAGATATCTTGTGCACATGCACAAATGTACATAAAATATTATAAGTAATATTTGAGAACTTAATATTAAAATTCTAGATAATGAACATATTACATTTTCAAAAAATTGATCATTAAGAAAAATAAATTAACGATTTATTATTATGAACAATTGTTTATTTTGATTAGATAATAACAGTTTGATTATTATTATTATTATTAAAAAATAATTGTTTATAAGCTTCTAAAGTTGTTTGACTATGCTATTAAAACAATTTACTAATTATTTTTAAAGATTTTTTTTAATGAGATACAAAAGAAAATGATAATATTGATGTTAATATAAATAACTTGAAACAATTGTATATAAAAATGTAATTTATAATATTGTGAATTATTATTAGTTGGTATTAACAATAACTATTATATAATATAATAGAAATATACATAATTATATTTAATAGGATGTATTAATGTAA